TTTAATTACGATTAAAAGTTCATCAGTTTTTCTAATGATAACATGAAGGAATAAATCAGAATTACTCAAATTTAAAGCAAGCCATAATAATGGTGTATCAAGAGGAATAGTTATTCCTTGTATAATAACACAAAGGTCTGTACATTGTTCAAATGAATTTGTTTTTAATAATTGTAATGAAGGAGGATCATTATCATTTATATCTCTTTCTTTTAAAAATATTTGAATACCTTCAATAAGTGTTGTTAAATGATCATTAATAATAACAGGAATACAATCAGTATATCTTCTTTGTGAACCAAAATACCAATGAATTGGAATATTTTGCCAATTTTCACCTGTAATAAGTATTGGATTAAGTAATTGTTCATATTCTTCTAATTTATTTTGAGTATGACATTCCCATAATGGTGTAATTGATTCTACTGCTAATTGTCTAATAGTTTGAATAGAACCATAACGTAAATATACACTTTCTTTTAATTGTTGTATATGATAATTTTTGATTGTTTCTTCATTTTCATATGGTTGAAATGTTGATTGGTTTTGATTAATCCCAATCGTTATTTCCATTGGTAAACTACCATTATGAAGTGCATCAAATATTATTCCAATAGGAAAATACCATTTAACATTTTGTTCATTTACTGTATAAGTAACTGAACTAATTGGTTGTTCTACTTCTTGAAGAAATTCTGTTAATGAATTCTTTAATAAAACTGGTAAATATTCATTCCGAGATACATTATATAATGTAAATTTCTCTTCACTCTTAAACGGAATTCTAACAATTATAGGAATTGTCCCCTCAATAACTTTTCGTTTGATTGTAGAATCTATCAATGATGAATATTCAGCAACTTGCATCTTATTTTTTTTAAGTTTTTTTAATTTTTTCAAAGATCTTCATAATAAAACACAAAAAAATTAGAATAAATCTTGTGTTAAGGAACAGAAAATAATAAAATTAAATTGATAAACGAAATAAATATGAAAAATAAATAATTTAAGTATTTATAGAGTTATCCTTTATGTTCCCTGATCACTGGAAATTATTCACAGTTATGGCCCATTGTCTAGCATCTCTATCGAGTATGTTTTATTGTAGTAGAAGCAATGTTTCATGACATCCACCATGTATTTAATTACAGTTTTTGATTTTTGTTGTCATGTTTATTTCAATTTTTAATTCTTTTATTAATCTCATATTTTCTATATTTGTTAATTAATTTAGAGAAATTACTACTCGATTTATTTTGATATCTTTTCTTTTCTCTCCTTCTTTCTATTTTTATTTCTTTATTCATATTTCTTTTCTTCCAATAAGCTCTATTAATATTGTGGTCTGCAATAATATTCATATCAAATATTAGACCAGTTTTATTCTTTTTATCTAATACATATATGTCTGGTCTTTTGTGATATTATCAATCACTTTTTGATATTATTTGTTTGTTCTATATCATGGTGGTGTCATTATATTTGAACATTGTTTCATATGTTGATTTCTTGTATTGATGATAATTTATAAATTATATATAAAATAATAAAATAAGAGAATATAAAGAAGAATATAATAATAAAATAAGATATAATCATTCTTATTTTTATTATTTATTATATTTGATTTTATCATTTTATATTTGTTTATATTGTTTGTTTATATTTTATTATTATTATTATTATTATTATTATTATTATTATTATTATTTAATATATGTTGTATTGATATTTATCATTGTTAATATGAAATAAATAATAATGAATAAATATAAAATAAGAATAAAAAGATATAAGAATATAACATAAATAATAAAATAAGAAATATATAATAGATATAAAGATAAAAGAAGAAGAATAAAATAAATAAATATAAAATAATATAAATAAAATAAAAAATAAATAAAAAGAATAAAATAAATATTTTATTATATTTTTATTTATCTTTTATTCTTATTTCTTTTTATTATTTATTAAATTAACACAATGAATATGATTATTTCAAATAAAATAAAACAAGAATGAAATACGAACATTTTTATATTCATCATTTCATTCATTGATAGATGAAATGTTCATATTTATTTATTAATTTTATTTTATATTCTTTTTTAATTTTTATATTTCAAATAAATAATAATGAATAAAAATCATTTCATTTCAATTACAATGATTCGTTCTGGTGTGAAACAATAATCGGGATATTGTTTTCCACAAAATGCATATGATGTTCCTTTATATTCATATGAATCTTGAATATAATGTGAATATGTTTTATTATTTTCTTTAAAAACAAAAATATCATCATAATGTCCAAATTTAAACAAACAATCATCTGATTGATTGTATAATTTAAATGCGTGTTGTGGTTCATTAATATCAAATTTCATCATTCCTTTTATTCTCCCATTTGATTTTAATGAAAATAAAAATGATTTTGGATCATTTATCCAGTTCCAATTACTAACTTTATCAATTTTCTCATTAACATATCCTCCAAATTTATTTCCATTTGTATCTTCAATAATAATTATTATATTGTTCTTTATTTATTATTCTTTGATCAAATACGGATGTATTCTTATTCCAATTATCATTATCTGAATCAAATAGGATATTTCCTACTTCTCTTGACGTCCATTTTTCTATTTGTTTCATTTCTTTAATTGTCTTCTTTGTTATAGTTTTTATTATTTCTTTTTCTAATCTCTTTTTTTCTTCTTTTTTTCTCTTTCTCTCTTCGTATTCTTTTCTCTTTCTCATTCTCTTTTCTTCTTTCTTTTGTCTTTCTTTTTCTTCTTTTCTCATCTTCCTCTCTAAATAATCACTATATTGTGTAAACCATTCTTCTTTATTTTTATTAAATTTTGTTTTAATATTGTTAATTTCTTCTCCTAATTTCTTAATTTTATCTTCTTTATTCATTTCTTCCATGTGAATGATTTTATCTATTAGTTCATTCTTAGCTTTATTTATTGTTTCTTCATCATCATTACATTCTTCTACTATCTTTTCCATTTTATTCTTAATTGTTTCTATTTTATTTATTGTTTCTTGACTTTTTTCTATTACTATTCTTCTTCTTCTAACCACTTCATCCATCCTATCAAATATTCCCTCTCCTCTTTTAATAGCTTCTGAATATGTTTCATCTGCTTTTATTTCAAATATTTTATTTTTAATACTTCCTAAATAATATTGATATTGTTTATTAATATCATCAATTGATTGTTGAATATTTGGAAGTGTTTCCACTACTTCTTTAATTAATTGATTATTCATCACTGATTCCATTTTAATTTAATTATATCAGATTAAAATAAGATGATTAAATAACTAAATACACATTTATAACACATCATTTTATTTATTATTTTATTCATTAAACAGAAATAATATTTTATTTTTTTTAATTTTAAATAACAATATTATATAATAAAATTTATAATAAATTAATAATGATATTTATCTATAATTATTTTATTTTTATTTATTAAGATTCGAAGATAACATGTCAGAGATACTACACAGAACCACAAAATAAATCATGTCTCGAATCCAACATTTATCGTATGGACATGTGTTATATTTTGTTAGAAAACATCATGCCAATATTGTAAGAATATCACTAATCATTATTTATGTTGATTGAATCTGATTGATAATAAATGTGTGCTTATTTATAAAGATGATAGTTTATTTACTTGTTAAGATACAAGTGTATTTGATAATATACATTATCAATGAAAAGGATCTGTTATTATGGTTAAGACTAAAATGAAAATTGTCCATAATAATGTAGTAGTAATTATATACTCTTCTTAAAACAAGAAAGTAAAGAAGAAGATTTTAGTACTCATTAAAATCAAACATACTTAAATGATGAATATTTAAATCAGATATATAAAATACTCTATTATAAAATAAATATGAAGAAATGAATTTCTCACATTTCAACAACTAAAAGCAAAGAATAAGCCAATGTTTGCTGAAAAAAAAACCTTTTATAAGTCAAAGTGAATAATCTGCACTGAACAATGAACAATAAAAAATAAACCATTAACACACAGTTATCAACTTTTTTCATATTTTATTATTTTTCAATTTGTTCATTTCTTAATTTCTTATTTAACTAATTCATTCTAATTCATTCACTTTATTTATTATTCTATTTCTTTATTTTCTTGTATTTTTCTTTGATTGAATCTTTAACTTTCTCCATTTTCATTTTATTTTGGATTGAATATACTTCCTGTTGTATAATATCATTGTTTTTTTTTCTTTATTAATTATTTTTGATTTCTTCATATTCTCCTTTTTCAATTTACCTCTTATTTTCATTTTAATTTCATTCTTTGTTATTATTCTATATTTCTTGTTGGTATTGTCTTTACCATCATTCTATTTGTTCATATTTTCTTATTTATCTTTCATTTCTTATTCTCTTTTTATTCACTTTTTCGTTGTATTCCTTTTACCATTCTAATACACATTTTATTACTATTTCATCATTCTCTTGTACATTCTTGATTGTTTATTTCTTGTTTACCTTTCTTTACAATACTCAAGATATTATTTCATAACAATGATAATATGATTTGATAATGAGTTGTATTAAAAAAAATTCTAATAGATAAACTAATTAAAGTACATGAATAAGTTAAATAAAAAAGAGAAGAATAACATAAATATGCATTAAATCATATTATTTATCTTTATTGGATGTAATAAAAAAGTGATTAACAAAGCTTTAAATCTATCAAGCAGAGTTTATTTAACCTTTTAATCAAAATATGAACGAAATAAATCAATTAATGAAAAGAAAGTAAAGTTTTAAATCTATTTACTATTTCTTAATTAAAGTTCAATTTGGTTTTCACCTTCATCAATAATAATGGCGTTAACTTGTTCTTCAGAAGAGTCAGCTTTAGTAGTGTTAGTTTGGTTTGTTGGATTAACGTCTTGTTGTGTAGTTTCATCTTTCTGTTGTATATCATTTTTGTCTTCTATATTGTCAAGTTCAATAATTTTAGTGTATTGAACTTCTTCTTTTGGATAGTTAATTGACTTGGGAATCAATAACAATAACAAGAAATTGATTAAAGGAACAACAGCCATGACAAAGAAAGTAAAATGAGCATTGAAAGGGAATTTTTGAGTAAATGACCAAGCTATCAAAGGAGATGAAATTAAGGGTGCAAATAACCTAAACAATGCCACTAAACTTTGACTCAGCCCATTCAGTGTACCTAATAAATCACTTGTTACACTATTAGCAATCATAGCCATTACTGAAGCAAAACAAAATTGAGTTGTTATATTCACCATAAAAAACTATAAACACTAAGC